TGATTCTTTACCTCACATAACTGAAAATCTACAATCATGCCCTGACTAGATGTCCTCTTTCCATTCAGTGTACGGCTGGTTAGAAAATAATGTACAGTACAGTGAAAAAAAAGCATGTTAGTAGGGAATGCATGTTTTATAGGAGTAATTTATGCTAGCAAGGTACGTTCAAGGTCTTCTCATATGATGGGAAAGGGTGCACAACCTTAAAACTACAGTTAACATTCATATCCACCTCAAATTGATAAGATGCCACAAAACCAGCCACTGGAGGCAGTATCACTCACACTTATAAATCAAACGAACTTTAATTGCCTATATGTATTCTTATTTTGTATACAATCATGTTCATAGGCTTGGGGGGTATATAGGGACCTGAGAAGTTATGAGGTTTATCTTTTTTCTCTCTCGCTACACTCCCCATGCAGATGACTAGCCGTGCAACAGTTCATCATCATCAGTGAATGTCGAAGGTCCAAGTCCTATTCAGTACCACCAGGCAAAAAGTTTTGACTCTTATTCAACACAAATATCACTGTTTTCAAGAGAAATTGAAATAATAAATTACCATCCTATCTACCGCTAACCTTTATATGTTAAAGCCACTTTTGTGTTTCAGTGGGTATCAATGTAGATAAACCAGGTATCCCTGCACCTTCACCTGACCATAAGTTCTTGGAAAGCCAAAAGCCAGTAAGGGTATGCCAATTGGCTTTTTATCCATTGCTACAACTTTATCTATAATCAGAAGCCAGATTTTCTCATGTTATGATTTTATCCTACTGTGAATTTCTAGGTTCTCCCCAGAGAAAAATTTAAGAGTTATCCTTAGTATTTACAACATAGAAGAAATTTTGGTCACATGCTCCAAAGCACACTACTCTTTTTCTTGGTTGCACTTGCTGCACCTTTAAATGCATGCCAATTTTAAATAAATTTCTGTCATCCTCATTGAAATGTAAGCTCCATGAGGACAGATTCCAAGTCTGTCTGTTCATCAGCTTATTCCAAATACCTAGCATGGTATTTAGCACACAGAAAGTTCTTTATACCTGGAGAATTGACAAATGGCCTTCAAAATCATTCTAGTCCAACAATCCCTTCGGGGGGATATAAAAGTTGAGTAAAAGTCATTCTTAGAAATGACTTGCCCAGATTGTGTAACGTGTTCATGACAAAGCCAGGATTAGAATTCTGGATTCTTGATTGCCCATTCACATTCTTGGTCCATTCCATCACAGAGGTTCTTACACCTGATACCCTGGGCAGACAACCCTACTGATGAGTAAGGCACAGAGCCCTTTGTCATCTAAACATCATTTGATTGGTTGCCTGGCTCCTAGTGTTCTTTATCAGTTGGAACATTAGAAACCGTCCAATACCTATGCCTGGTTTATACATACTTTTAAGTAGGACTCCAAGAACAAAACCCAAAACGGAATTTTACAGACAGAATGAAAAGCCAATTTATTCACAAATATGAGAATCAAGTTTTACAGAGGCCAAGCCACAGATGCCAGCGTAATTTCCATGGTTCAGCTACTGCTGAATCAAATATTCTGCTAAACAGAGCTCCAATTTGAATGTGTTTTTTTTTTATTTGGGTGTTTTTTTCATGAAACTATTTAAAAATACAGCTTCTGAGCACACGAAAAACGTAAACATGAATTTTCAGAGGTGACAAGGTGATCTAAAATTGGATTGTGGTGATGACTGCCCAACTCCATAAATTCATTTTTTTAATCTTTAAATTATACACTTAAAATGGGTAATTACTGTAAATTTTACTTCAATAAACCTGTTAAAAATAAGTGCAAAAACGAGTCAGAAAGTTAAAACTATTTTTGTAAACACCTGGTATCAAAACTGTAAAGAAATTTTTAAGTATTCCCATACTCTTTTAAGCCCAAGTTTTATCTACTTCAACCATGGTTTACCTACAAATTCAAAAATTTTTCTTGCAAATATCTTGATGCAGCACTGAGATAATGAGTTGTTTGACTGAGTGTCTGCATGAATGATCTATACATATTTGTGTTTAATTAAGCATAATGCTCTAGTCCAAAAGCTGTCATTAGCCATTGGATTTTCAGCATGTTATACATCTCCAGACCTCAGTTTTCCCACTTCTATCATGTATCACTATGGAGAAGAGTAGAATTAAATAGCATATAATATAGTAAAAAGAACAGTAATTGCTATTATCTAATGAATAGCCACCAATATGCCAGACTGTTTAAATTATCTTCCTACGAGGAATGTATTATTATTAGCTACCTTTTGGCAGATGGAGAAACTGAAACATAGAATTCAATTGTTTGACAAAGTTTGCAGTTATTTAGTAGCAGACCCAGGACTTCAATCTAGAGCTGTCCAGCTCCAGAACCTGTAGTCATTCTCTACTTCTCCCTAAACTTTGGACTTTTTTGATTGTACCAGATGTGGGCATGAATCCTGACCTTGCCTTTAGTATGTTAAGTTAGTCACCTTCTGGGTCCTGTTTCCTAGTCTATAAAATGAGATCACTAATGTTTAATTCTCAGGGTTGTTGTGACGATTAGATCACAGAGCACTTCCCTTATAATTAGTAACTATTCAATAATATTCTTTCTCATCCCTCTCTCACACAAGCTCCTTCCTGTGTTTAAAAAAATTTTTAAAAATCAGTAAATCCTATGATTTCCTTGTAGCCTTCCTGGATCAACCTCACTGACACTGAGTTCCATCAAAAGCACTTAAAGGGAACACAAACAACACAGCACTAATCCTTTGCTACCAGTCCTTGGCTCTGTGACGGAGACTGTCAACAAGAGTGTCAACTTCAAGGGGTGGGCATCTGTCCACAGGAACTGAGCGAACTGAGGTCACAGACTTGTCTCACTCTGCCCTACAAACAGATGTCTGGGTGACAACTTTTAGTCACTGCAAACCAGGGTTAGAGCCAAACCCTGGCTCTAACAAACCAGGTGGGAAGTGCTGTATCTCCTTTCTAATCCTCTTGGCTACCCTATTCACTCCCTAAAACAATAACTCATTGACCATAACTCAAAATAACTATTTTTCTCCCAGGGCACTACTTTGAACATAATGCCTTTATTTTGATGATATCTAATTATTCCACAAGCAGCAATTTGTCAGCAAGAAACTTGTCTGATTCTGTGCATTGAAATGTGCACCTTCAAATATTTACCTCTCAAGTAACCTGGTGAAAACTGATGTAATGTGGAGCTCTAGTGGTGGCAAGGAAGTAAAGCAGCCATTAGGGAGGGCCAACAAAACAGCAAGGAATTCACCATTTATTATTTATGTGTTTGTTATTGTGAAGTCACCATTTCTTATTCAATTAATGTGTTAAGAAGAAAAATGATCTTCTAAGATAATGTAAGGTAAACTCTAAATATATCTTTCTTCCAGGTTACATATTAGACCTCAACAACTAGCTTATATCAAACATAATAAAGGAGTTAAATTAAAAACAAAAAAAAAACAAAGAAAACAAAAAACAGCACAGTGATGTGGTTGTCACTCTTCTACTTTTTTACCCAGTTCACTAAGAATTCTATTAATTAAACACTGGCTACTTTTCACACAGCTCACAAGAGTACTGAATAGAGAAAATGCTGGACTCCAAGTGGTATGACCAGTGAAGTCTTATACCAACTGTTTTGGGAATTTAAATAATCCTTCCAAACTGATGAGATTTTTGTGAGTTAATCCCTGCCCTAGAAAAGTGCTTTCCTTGAATTTCTGACTTCTGAGGTCTTTTGCAACTTAAAACAACCAAGAATGAAGCCCACGATGTCAAAACAAACATTAACTTATTTCCTTGTTACCTAATATATATATCTTCTCAATTGAAAGGGCTTCATTTACAAAAAATACAGCTCCATTATGGTCAACAATGTAGCAGAACATAAATAGTAAAACTTTTATGATGTACAACTGAGAGTTAACATTTAAAATTTCTAAACATTTAGTTGGTTTAGCTATGTTATCATGAGGGAAAAAAAGCTCAGAATATGGAAAAATACAGGAAGTAGCCTTTTCATATATAAGTATCTAAGCATCGTGTTACTGAACATTACAGAAAATGTAAAAGACTCACTCTTCCCTAAGTGATGGTAAAAGAAACTGAATGTTCATAAATGCATTAACAACATTTATCTGAAATAAGTATCTCAACTTCTGAGAGTTTTTCATGGCTTTTATCAGTTGAATTCAGTAGATGTTTTCCAACAGACATATTTCAAGGGCTCCTAAATTGTTAGGTCTAGAGATGTCTGACTCCCTAGCCTCAGAGGTCTGCAATGGAAGATTTAATGATTACCTATAGGTTTCGTTCATTAATATCTCTTTTCCAGCCTTCTATTAATATGCTTTCATTAATATAATACCTTAAAGCTGCACAGAAAAAAAAGTGGTAAAAATCTAAGAGCCTTTTCTGAGAGGTCATTGAGAATGCAGTAGTTTGCAATGGGAAGCTGAAGATAAAGAACTACTAATTTCCTTTAGCTATAGGACAGGAGAACCTTTTTTGATAGACAAGAATAAAAGCAGGAGAGGAAGTTAAGGTCGTTTACTAACATATGTCAAAAGTAGCAAACGGAAACCTGTACTAATCCAACATTCACCACCAGGGAATTCAGAATCTAACGTGTTCTGCAGTCCTTTTCCCCATAGACAGTAAAATTGAATTAAATTGAACAGTATTTTTCAATCCGTGACTCTATAAATTTCATCTTTGTACATCATCTTGCCATATTTTCCACTGGTGATTATCTCTCTCATTTGCCCTCTATAACAGACCTTAGTATGTTGCTTAAAATAATATTTGGGGCTTTATTTGCCATTCTTTTGACTGAGACATGTTGATTTTATTAAAGTAAGTTGGGTCTGCATTCTTTCTTTACTATTATTACAGGTAGACTTGACAGACACAGGACTTTTATTTTAAAATGCTCTGCTAAGAAGCCAACCTTGTTAAATAAGTTCCATTTTACCTGCTGGGCAGTTGCATTCTGAAGGTGCTTCTCTTGCGATTCTTATTTTCGCCATATGTTCATAGGATCTCTGCAGGTGGGGGAAAAAAGGCATTAAGAGTTATCAGTAGCACTGTAGAGAAATGGGTTCTTTAGGGATTCTCTTGCCATATGCTTGATTCACTAGCATTTGATAGCCTGCATGACTAAAGTTTACATACATGCTTGGACTTTAGTCAAAAGGTAACAGTACCCAAGCCCTAAAAAAAGAAAATGATCCTTGACATGATATCAAGACTGCTGGACTTGTAGAACATCTTTTTCTGTTGTTCAACTACCACCATCTTCTCCCTCTGCTCAAACATATGCAGTCAATGCAAAAACCTGGCACTAACATGTTGTGGTTCTAGGTAAGTTATGTTTTAAAACAGCCCATATTTTATACATGAAGGTCAACTGCCTATCCTATTGTGCTGCAGCTACTGCCAAACAGCCTCTGTGTTGGAAAAGCAAGTTCCAGAAAATCTCCTCTCATCTAAAGCTACCCCTGATTTTGGTAATATAATATAGATTATTTTGGACTCTCAAGTCAAATAGCACTTTTTACAAAAAAATTAAGCTACTATTTTCTTTTTAAACATTTAATATGAGAATATTCAATGTATAAAATGACTGATTTGAAATCACATGGAAGATTATTTTACTTTCAAGAGTGATTACCATTTGTTAACACCTGTGGTCCTAACCTTCTTGGGACATAGGGAGAACATAACGTAATCTCTGCAAGGAATATTCTCCACAAAATTGGGAAAGATTCCAATTAGATTTTGGAAAACAAAAAAAAAAGATTAAATGCCACTCTTCCGTCCTTTAGAGCTCCATATATGTTTAACGTGCAAGCATTCAGAAGAGTAAGGGAAGATGATACACAGAGAAAGGATCATATCAAAGGATGTGCACATACAAATATATGCTATAATGAGATGGTCGCCTAGCATATGCACACACAGCCACACCAAGTATGAGGACAGTAAGGATAGAGGGTGGTCATATACACAGAATCAAGCCTGTGCAAAATGTTATCCACGTGCAAAACACCCCCAGCCTTTCACACCTGAGCCAGAAGTCGCTCCACTTTCTCTTGCACCATTGCATTCAGCCGATCCACGCAATCAGGAAGCAGACGGATGGAAGGATCCCCTTTGGTGGATTCGAGAGCAGCGATCCTCGCCTGGAGGTCCTTGGTTTTCACCCCCAGGTACAGACAAGACAACACGGCCACCGCTGACAGGAGGGCCGCCAGGACCGCGCACGAGGGTACGGTCCTGGCACAACGCTGCCCAGCGGGGTTTGGATCCTCCGAGCCCGGCTCCCGGGCCCCTCCTTTGGCTGCAGGCTTCTTCAGCAGCATCGTGGCGGGGTCGGCTGCCTCCCACCCTGTATCACTTCCAACAATCTTAGAAGGAAAGAAAAAGGACGATTCCTTCAAAGTTCAGTCCGCGCGGCTGTATAACTAGTTGGCGTAGTGGGAGCAGGGGAGCGTGGAGGTGGACCCCCTCTCTCTTCAGTGCCGAGACCAGCAGTCGCAGACCGTCGGTCCTTTGCCTCCTTCTCCCTTCTTAGCTGGGGGAGAAGAGCACCCTCAGTCTAGGGACCGGTGGCAACAAGGTGAAAACCGGAATGAAACCCACCCGGATAGCTCTGCTGGCCCCTAAAGGACAGACACCTATTCCGAGGTCAGGGGACAGTGGGCGAGGGCTGCGGCGGCCGCCGCTCCCCTCGCCCCGCAACGCGGACCTGTTGCGTTTCTGTTAGTTCCCCTTATGTCTACCTAGTCTGTGTTTTTCCTCACGCCAACTGTTTCCCACCTGGACTCAGATGCAGGCAAAAAAGGCTAAGAACAGAGGTGGGAGAGCTGCAGGGGGAACGCAGCGCAAAAAGGGTAGCCGAGGGGCAAAGAACAGACGAAACGGAATAACCCAGGAGCAAAAGCGAAGGAACAGTGAAGCCCAAGTCGCTGCTGCCCCAAGGATCTCCGCAGCCTCGCGCGTGCGAGCCTTAAATACACTTCGAGATGCTCGTGTGTGAGTGTGTGTGTGAGAGTGTGCGCGCGCCCGGAGTCGACGTCCCGCCCCCTCTTGGCGCGGCCTGGGTCCGCGGTCCCGAGGCAGTGCGCCCCCTCCTGTGCCCAGCGGAAGCCCGCCTTATTATCTTAATATATTCACCTTCGCCTGGCCCGCTAGGGCCCGTACCTCCCAGGGGGCAGGGGAGCTGAGCGGGAGGTTCATTAGCATAAAATATGCAAATCTTGGAGCTGACGCAGTGATTGGAGAGGAGCTTGACGCCCCTCCCCCTCCTCCGAGTAACTTCAGCGTCCCGAGGGCCACTTCTCCAGCCTAGGCCAGGGGCCGAAGTGGGGTCTTCGGTGGGCCAGGTGGCGACAGTGGCTTAGACTGACTCTGCCCAATGTTTTCTTTTTATCGAGGTTAAATCTAGAGAAATGGCCTCCAAGCGGGAAGAAGTAGAGCCGAAAGCTCTTGCTCTCCAGATCTTCACTCAAAAGCAGCAGCGGAAGCTCTTGGGATCTCGCTCTGGGCAGCCTTTCTTCCTCCTCCCTCACTTTTCCCACATGCCCAGAGGCAAAGTGTCTGGCTGACGCCCGAGGTACATTTCCCCACTTCCCTTCTCTTCCCACGGCCCTGCAGATTCTCCACCTAAGGAAGTTTTCTTTCCCCTCCCCCAGTTTCCTTCTGTCTTGATGGGGCCGAGTCGCCTCCCTGCTCTGTGTTCCTAGTCTGTGCTAGGGTGCTAATGCGTTTTCCTGATTCCCTGGTTTGTGGGATTGAAAAAGGCAGCGTTGAGGTGCACATTTCTTAGCATTTAGGAAAGGACTGAAGAATGAGGTCAATTTTTCCTCTTACCTGACTCTCCTCATTCTGCTCCCTCTGGGTCAAATTACAAGTTCTTTAATGGGATTTTTGAAAGTAGGTAACAAATGGCATTCTACATCTAATTGACTTTGAAAAAAAATAAATCCCACCTCTTTCTCCAACGAGTTTCTTATCGCCTCCTCCCCACAAAAAAAAAATACCAAATCCTTGATCAAGCTATGTAAACCATCAACACAATACTGTGCTAGGCTGACCTTTCAAATGCTTAAACAAGTATTGCTAGGTACCAAGGGGAACAAGGATGTTTCAGAAACATCTGCTGATGGAAGGTATAGGAATGGAGAAAAAAGAAAGATTAGGAGATGAAACAGACACAACATTGGAGGAAACAGTGAATTTTGCTGTAAAATCAAAAGCATAATGCCTTACATTTGTTTTACGCAGTAGTTCTCAAAGGATGGTCCCAAGACCAGCAGTATCAGCATCATCAGAGAATCTATGCAAAATTCAAATTCAGTAGATTCATCTCCTGAAGCTAAAACTACTGCTATTACTAAATCAGAAACACAGCAATCTGTAACTTTGCCAAGACCTCCTAATGATTTTAATGCACATTAATGTACCACTAGTGTAACACTTTACAAAATATTTCCAAATACATTTTTTACTTGAACCTCAAAACCCTGTGATGCAAATAAGAAATTATTGGTCCCATTTTATATATAAGGAAAAAATTTTCAAGTCACATTTAATCCTGATTAAACATGTTTCCAATAATAGCACCCAAGGAATGGGTACAAATTTTTTTAACATGTCAAATCTTTCTGAATTACGAAGTACCTCTCTAACCATTCCTTAGTCTCCTTTGCAGGCTTTTCCTCTACCTGTCCTCTGAATGTTGGTGCTCCTCAGTTCTCTATGCCACCTTCTCTTTTAATTCTGTACACTATCTCCAGTAATGTTCTCAATTACCATCCTTATACGGGTGAATCAAAATCTATACTGCAAGCCCAAATCCCTCCTGAGTGTAACACCCATATAGCCAATTGCCTGTCAGCCACTTCCACTTCCATGTCCCATAAGCAATTCCAACTTAACCTGTATCTTACCTACAAACACTGCTCTTCTTTTGTTTCCCACCACAGTAAATGGAGCTTATGCACATCCAGTGTCCCCAAACCAAAATATCTAGTAATAACTCTGGACTTCTCCCTAACCCTCCTCATCTACCCAAATTCCTTTGATATGTGCTATTGGCCTTAGTGTGGAATTGTATATCTTGCAAGTGACCACATGATATCTGTCATCTCTTCTTCCTCTTTGTTCATCGTTTTCCTCATGCTCTGCATGCCAGTTTCTCTAATCAAAATATGGAGACAAAGAATGAAGAACTTTTGAGATATCTCTCAAAATTTCTGTAGAAAGGCCTTTTTCTGTGCTGGCTGATGCTGACAGTAAGTCACATGTTTAATATGATGATGCAATGTTTTTATATTATGCTTTGTGGAAATTGGCATAGGCAGGTACATTAACAACTCTTACATGCTCTCAGAACTGTCAGATCTTAGCAGAGAGATAGAGTTGGAATTTTGTGGATTCGACATCTTTAGCCAGAGGATTAATTTTGATTTCTATAATTAAGTGGTCACAATACCCAAGAGATTTCAAAACCCAGTAGATTCTTTGCATCAAGTACAGAGAATGCATGAATCAAGAAGCCTCTGGGGATTTGAACTCATGTTGATCTGTACATTTATTAGACTGCAGTTGTTCACTCTTCCATGGAAGATTCAAAAAAGTAAAAATAGCGCTAAAAATGGTACAGTCCAGCTGACTTCAATTTAGCTAAGACTGGTATCAATAGTGGTAAAAGGCAAGCAGCTGGTTGTAGTATAGTTATGTGATTGGAAGAGTGGACCTCCAAAGATATTCACATTCTAATCCCTAAAACTTATAAAGGGGGGATGTTACCTTACTTGACAGATGTAATAACTGAAGGATTTTGAGATGGGGAGATTTTCTTCAATTATGTAGGTGGGTCCAATATAACCACAGGGTCCTCGTAAGAGTCTCATAGTCTCAAAGAGATGCCATAACATCTCTCTGAGGTCACAGTGATGTGAATCCTGGCTTTGAACATGGAAACCAAAGAATATGGGCAGAGTGGCAGCAGACAAAGGAACAAATTCTCCCTTAGAGCCTCCAGAAGGAATACAGCCTTACCAACCCTTGGATTGTAGGATTTCTGACCATCGGAACTATAATTAATAAGTTTATGTTGTTTAAGTTACTGAGTTTTTGGTAATTTCTTATAACAAACCATGGAAAACTAACAAAATCACGGTCACAAGAAATCAGTTTTCATCTGCTACAGCATCGTAAGCTACATTTTAACCACCATCATGCCCTGTAACTCCAGCAGGCCCTGTCATAACAACCCCTGTCTCTCGCATGTTTACGCATTCCTATTTTATTGACATGCCCAGTGGGAAAGAATTGGAAAGATATGCCTTCTCCCATGTCATGTCAAATTAGGATGCCCTCTACTGAGACATATTAAACTGAATAAAATATGTTCTATTTCTTGATGTCTCCCATTGGTGCAGCTCAAAAACAATAAGCCAGTCACGCTGCACAGCCACTCTCAACTCTCCTCCTCGCTAATGCTAATCCAGCCAGGATCCTGACCTGGGACTCAGCCTGCCCGCTAGCACTACTGTTACCGATCTCCAGGACCCATAACAAGGGACATAAACAAAGACATCTGACAGCGAGATGTGGCAAGAAGTTAAAGAAAGAAAGATGACTGGGAGAAACACAAGACAAAGAGAAAAAATGACGGTAAAAGAAAAGAGCTCTTTTAAGTAGGTAGAAGTGATAATTGTTTTAAAAAGCACAGTTCACTCTTACATCTAAGAGGCTGATCAATAGAAGATACATAGCACAAAGGTAAACAAACACAGACTTAACATTTTGATGTCATATGTGTATTTAGAAAGATTTTCTGACCCAAATAAGTAACTGAGATAATTATATTATGCTGTTTTTAGATATTAATTACATGAGAGAAAAATATATTTCAGTTTTATTAGAAAATATCATTTAGCACCATCAATTTTTGAGGCTAATTAGTTTGCTAAAACCACACTTTCAACCAATATTCACCACTAAAGATATCAAACAGAAACAAATGTCTGAGGGGATTTGTAGCTATCTTTGTACATACAGCCAGCTGCTGTGTCCACTAAGTTCCTTAATAAAGAAAATAATGGCCCTGGCCTGGTGGCTCTATTTGTTGGAGCATCGTCCCCTGCACCAAAGGGTTGAGGGGTCTATTGCCAGTCAGAACACATGCCTAGGTTGCCAGTTCAATCCCTGGTCTGGACAGGTACACAAAGCACCTCTCTCCCCCTCCACCCCCGCATCCCTCTCTAAAATCAGTAAACACATCCTTGGGTGAGGATTAAAAAAAATAACAATATAAAATAAAACAAATTGTTTTTTTAAAGAAAATAATAGAATGAATTTTGTGCTGTATTGAGCATGC